AGCAGGAATAATTTTCAGCCTGAGGTCTTGCTAGTAGGTACCTCTAGCAGGGCACAGCACTCCTGTATCGCCCACCCTCTCCAGCTGGGCAGAGGAACTGTATCTCGCACATCAAGTCAGAGAGGCTGTAGTGATGTCCTTTGGGTGTATGACTTCGAGGCCGTCTAGGAAACATGACATGAGAGATTAATACATGTGATTTAAATTCAGATTAAAATCTATACTTGCCTTTGAATTCCCTTTCACTTAATGTTGCACAAAAGACGAGACCATGGATTACACTGAATCTTTATGAGCAGGTTAATGGAAGATGTGTATCCACTGAGGTAGGAATAGCCATCAGCAGTAGAAGGCAGTTTTAATATTCATCTGTTACTGAACTGCTTCTCTTTGACATGTGCTATAGGGACTTGGTATCTTCTTAAGGGGGGTTGCAGTGGCTAAGTAAGATGGCCAGAGTCAGGCAGATGTATTGCTTCATTATAGTATGTTTGATTGCCTGACAGAGCAAAATAGAAAATAAAATTCCATTTGCTTTCCAGCAGACAACTTCAAGCAACGCATTAGCTGTACCATTCTATCCCTTCTCTCAGATACAAGAGGTCGGTAGGCAAAGGAGAGTCTTAGAGAAACTAGCATTTTATAAAACCATTAAGAAAAGCACAAGTACAAAACAAGAATGATAAAGAAATGCAATTAAGATGACTCAGATGAAGTCCAGGAGCTACTATTTCATGTGCCTTGCAAAATATCTGTGTATAGAAAATATATACGCTCTCCTTCACCACTTTTCTCTGTCTCAGCTGCTGAAAAGTTTTCAGCCTTTGTTGCACATAGGCTGAGCCAGTCTCCCCTTGGACTCCTTTGTGGTTTTATGATAAGGCAGTCTCCTAGAAGGGGAAGAAGGTTTGTTTTCAATTGCTGTGAAAAGAAATGTGGGTTTGAATTCAGATATCCAGCTTCTTGAGCAAGTACAATAAAATCCAGGCTTCTCCTTTAAAATTACAATAGCAACTTCATCACTGCTGATTAAGCCCTAAAAGAACAATGCAAACAAGTTTGTAATCTACACTACCCTGAAGATAGTTGGAGATATTTGGCCAAATGGGCTTTAATATCATAAAAAGCGTAATGAGAACTTTACTCAGACACTACATAGCATAGCAAAGGCAGTGAGATAGCATGAGAGAGGTCTTTATTGCTAACTAGATCAGCTCCAAAGCTATTAGCAGTATCAGTAGCTAGAGCAGTTGGCTTAGGTAAGTCTGCTGATTACTCCTCTTTTGAAGAGTAATATCACGTAACACAGGATTCTGGTTCCAGTAACATGAAGAGGGATTTCTTTGTTCCATTCAGTATTGTCATAATTTGATTCCAGTACTTTCCATAACCTCAAGTTTCCCATATAGTGGGTCTTCCCATACAGAGGAAGTGATAATTCAGTCCTCCAGAACAAGCTTTAGTGCTGCTTCTCTAATAAATAGAAAAAAGAAGGGGAGAAGAGAGATGTTTTATTCTTCCTCCTCGGTGCTCGTAGTCACTACTAAGCACCCTGGTATCACAGGTGAGACTTAACATGTCTGCTTTTGCTAAATACTTTTTCTTTATATTGCAGAATTACCTCAGAAGATGATGTCAGCAAAAATTAAGAAAGGTAATTATGTTTACATAGTAATCTAAGACTCTATACAGACTAATACAGCGATAAGGGATTTAACTTTCATAAATTCTTTATGTATTGTTCCAAGCTATCTCCTAATAAAAACAAGAATGTCAGACTGAAGTGAGTTGTTACTCTGAGTCTTCTTCTGTATTCGTCAAAGACTTTGAGGACAGTTGTGGTCACTGAAGATAGTAGCTGCAATCTCTACTCCCCAAAATAAACTCATCAGGTTGCTTTTTTTTTCTCTTTCTTCAATAAAAAGAAAAGAAGGACTCTGCAGAGATTGAAGCATTATATAATTAGCCACGATGTGGAACTCGTTGTGTGTTTTGAGAATAATCTAAATGTTAGAAAAAATAGGAAAAAAAGCCACTCTGAAACAGAACTTTCCAAGTATTGCCTGTATAGGAGCTAACAGGTTAGGGCAGATCCCCTAATTACTCATTAAGCAAGGGGGCAAGTTCTCCACTTCTGAAGGGGCAGACTCCCTGGCTGGTAGCCAGAGTTCACCGAATACAGACTTGAGTAAATTTCTTCATACATCAGCTCCTCTTTCTCTCCTTACCTTCCTTCCCTTATCCCTTCTTCCACTTGTTTCCTGTTGAATTGGTGTGCATTTAAGTTCTTGCAGAAATACCAATATTTGCACATTTTGAAATAGACTAATTATGGTGTTTATCTTTGCAGAATTGTATTCTGGAATATTTTCATTTTGAGATGGTGGTTTTCTTTTCCTGTTTTCTACTGTCTTTTCCATTCTTAATGTATAAAAAAATTGTGATTCTATGCTGTGGAAGTTACTAAAGTTGATTTTCCACAGATGCTGCAGATGTCTGGCACTACTTCCTTTAAGGTCTGACCCTAGTTCCCTGCTTTTAATGACAAAACAGAACATATCCTGTTAAATTCAGCTTGTGGCTGTCATCAACAACATTACATGTTTACTATTGTTTCCAGTAATGTAGTTTTGAATATTGAGTTTCTGGAGAAAGACATGGAATTCAGAAGTATAATGCTAGTTTGAATGGTTAGGATTGCATTGCCTTCATGACCTCTCTCTTCGAAAGTCATTATAAAAGTTATCTGTGAGCTCAACTGATTTGGACTTAATTTCCTTTTTCTGCAAGAACCATTTTAGTATAAGGATTTGCTAAATGAAAAGCAGCTGTTTTTTAGAATCAGTCATAATGCTGTAGTCTACGTTACATACCCTTATTATTAACTCAGTTTATCTTATGTGTCTTATCTTATTATCTTTCTCAGTTTATCTAATAATCTTTTGCTGTTATTTCACAGTACTATGCAATGCTTGATGAAATAATTGTTTCTGTAACTCCTATTGTCTGTGAGCTCCTACTAGAGGGTATATGGAATAGATACCACTCTGGTAGATTCTTGCCTGCTACCTGTCTACAGAACTGTCTCATTTCTGTTCTTAGCTGAAAGCATATTGTATAACTTGCCCACACCTTTCATATTTGTTGGTCTATGTGAACTTAGTTTTCTAAATCTGTGGACATCACTAGGTGCAAGAAAGTTGAAACATCTGAAGTGTAGAATCCATATACTTACTGGCAGAGAGTGCGATTTGTAGTGAAAAATCAAAATTAAACTATCCAGGAGTGCTTAAAAATAGTTTATTTTGTTACTTTCTGCAAGAACATTTTAATGGTTTAATTTTACATTTGATCTCTGAAAAATGGTGTTTTGCTGTTAATGAAGTCTTATAACAATTGAAATACAAGATATTGATATTTTTTTATTGGAAAAACACTATTTGTGAGCTATTATAATGTTTTATATAAATATATGATGTGCATCAATTGAATTTGATATTCTTGTTCTCGCAATGATTTTTAATAGATGCTTGACTAAAATAGATGTAATAGGATTAACTTCGTTACAGCTCAATAATCTACTCCAAAATGTTAGGGACTTTACAGTGATTGTTCTATAGTCATTTTTATTAAAATGGAGGCCCTCTGCACGCTATTTTAGTCTCAGTATTCTATTAAGTTTCACAGGTAAAGAGGGTCTTTATGTCACATCTGATATGATTGTCTTATAGGATGGCTAACCACACGTTTCACTGTAAGTCAGCTCAGTCAAAAATCGTATTTCAAAGTACCTGGTAGCAAGAATTTGAGAATACCTCCATATATATTTCATTATTTTTTCCATTATGTATTTTAAGAATATAAATTTAAGGGATAAATTGAATATAGTGATAAATTGACTTTTGGGGATTATTGTATGGCTATGTGTTTTTCTTCTCTGCCAGAAGCCATGATATCAAGCCTTGATATGCAGTCCAATTATGCAGTATTAATTTGTTAACTTTTTCTTGGTTGATCTTGTAGCTACTGGTTGCAAATGAGGAACTGGGACTGAAAAATGATAGACTAGCTGCTCCATCCCCCAGTTTCCTGTATCCTTTTATAGCAATAGACTGTTCCAGACAAAATGCATTGTTAGATCTTCTTTCCTGTTCTTTTTTAAAAACTATTTCCTTTTCCCTTCTATTTTAATGTTGCTTTCTGTATAATTCACACTAACATTGACTAAAATGACTACATAAATGACAAGAATGTGCACTTAAATGATCCAGCTGAGATTCAAGTCTTGTTTTAGTTTAGAGTAAAAAGAAATTTTCATCTCAAAGCTTCAATGTAGGAGGATACTTAAACGCATCACTAGTCCTCATATTCCAAGGTATAACTCACTGACTACTTGAAAAGAGGAAAAAAAGCAATGAATATGCCCCTATAATGCACCACCATAATATTGCAGTTATTTTGTGGTTAGTCTTTGGTCCAAAGTTACAGGTTTATTTTATAAACTTCCTCCAGTTCTACTGATGTCTCAGAATGTGTGTTGAATTTTTTTTTTTTTTTCTTCCCCCACCTTGTTCATCATTTACTATTGTTTGTAGAAAAGCCCAACTTCTGCTTTCATGAGAAAGACCCTGGAATCTGCCGAGGCTATTTTTCCAGGTATTTCTATAACAAAGAGACAAAGATATGTGAAGTATTCAAGTATGGTGGGTGCCTAGGAAACCAGAACAACTTCAAGAATTTGGAAGAATGCCAGGCTACCTGCCAAGTCAACTGTAAGTTGTTGTCCTCATTATTTCTAGTTTTACTTTAGTGTAAACAATGTTGTGTTTTGAAGGTATCTTGCATGGAAAAAAAAAGCAACTTAGAGTACCCTGAGATGGCAGTAATTTATATCTGAAATTAACATCACTTATATATATATTTAAATAA